CGGTGGCCCGCACGTGCTCCAGTCTCCCAGTGGTGGCCCACACGTGCTCCAGTCTCCCAGTGGTGGCCCACACGTGCTCCATCTCCCAGTGGTGGCCCGCACGTGCTCCAGTCTCCCAGTGGTGGCCGACACGTGCTCCAGCCTACCAGTGGTGGCCCGCACGTGCTCCAGCCTACCAGCGGTGGCCCACACGTGCTCCAGTCTCCCAGTGGTGGCCCGCACGTGCTCCAGTCTCCCAGTGGTGGCCCGCACGTGCTCCAGTCTCCCAGTGGTGGCCCACACGTGCTCCAGTCTCCCAGTGGTGGCCCACACGTGCTCCAGTCTCCCAGTGGTGGCCCGCACGTGCTCCAGTCTCCCAGTGGTGGCCCGCACGTGCCAGCCTACCAGTGGTGGCCCGCACGTGCTCCAGTCTCCCCAGTGGTGGCCCACACGTGCTCCAGCCTACCAAGTGGTGGCCCGCACGTGCTCCAGTCTCCCCATGGTGGCCCGCACGTGCTCCAGCCTACCAGTGGTGGCCCGCACGTGCTCCAGCCTACCAGCGGTGGCCCGCACGTGCTCCAGTCTCCCAGCGGTGGCCCACACGTGCTATGCTCCAGTCTCCCAGCGGTGGCCCGCACGTGCTCCAGTCTCCGAGCGGTGGCCCGCACGTGCTCCCAGTCTCCCAGTGGTGGCCCGCACGTGCTCCAGCCTACCAGTGGTGGCCCGCACGTGCTCCAGCCTACCAGTGGTGGCCCGCACGTGCTCCAGCCTACCAGTGGTGGCCCCCGCACGTGCTCCAGTCTCCCAGTGGTGGCCCGCACGTGCTCCAGTCTCCCAGTGGTGGCCCGCACGTGCTCCAGTCTCCCAGTGGTGGCCCACACGTGCTCCAGTCTCCCAGTGGTGGCCACACGTGCTCCAGTCTCCCAGTGGTGGCCCGCACGTGCTCCAGTCTCCCAGTGGTGGCCCACACGTGCTCCAGCCTACCAGCCGTGGCCCGCACGTGCTCCAGTCTCCCAGTGGTGGCCCACACGTGCTCCAGCCTACCAGTGGTGGCCCGCACGTGCTCCCAGTCTCCCCAGTGGTGGCCCGCACGTGCTCCAGCCTACCAGTGGTGGCCCGCACGTGCTCCAGCCTACCAGCGGTGGCCCGCACGTGCTCCAGTCTCCCAGCGTGGCCCACACTGCTCCAGTCTCCCAGTGGTGGCCCGCACGTGCTCCAGCCTACCAGCGGTGGCCCGCACGTGCTCCAGTCTCCCAGTGGTGGCCCGCACGTGCTCCAGCCTACCAGCCGTGGCCCGCACGTGCTCCAGCCTACCAGTGGTGGCCCGCACGTGCTCCAGTCTACCAGTGGTGGGCCCGCACGTGCTCCAGTCTCCCAGCGGTGGCCCACACGTGCTCCAGTCTCCCAGCGGTGGCCCACACGTGCTCCAGTCTCCCAGCGGTGGCCCGCACGTGCTCCAGTCCTCCCAGTGGTGGCCCGCACGTGCTCCAGCCTACCAGTGGTGGCCCGCACGTGCTCCAGCCTACCAGTGGTGGCCCGCACGTGCCCAGTCTCCCAGTGGTGGCCCGCACGTGCTCCAGCCTACCAGTGGTGGCCCGCACGTGCTCCAGTCTCCCCAGTGGTGGCCCGCACGTGCTCCAGTCTCCCAGTGGTGGCCCGCACGTGCTCCAGTCTCCCAGTGGTGGCCCACACGTGCTCCAGTCTCCCAGCGGTGGCCCGCACGTGCTCCAGTCTCCCAGTGGTGGCCCACACGTGCTCCAGTCTCCCAGCGGTGGCCCGCACGTGCTCCAGTCTCCCAGCGGTGGCCCGCACGTGCTCCAGTCTCCCAGCGGTGGCCCGCACGTGCTCCAGTCTCCCAGCGGTGGCCCGCACGTGCTCCAGTCTCCCAGCGGTGGCCCGCACGTGCTCCAGCTTCCCAGTGGTGGCCCGCACGTGCTCCAGCTTCCCAGCGGTGGCCCGCACGTGCTCCAGCTTCCCAGCGGTGGCCCGCACGTGCTCCAGTCTCCCAGTGGTGGCCCGCACGTGCTCCAGTCTCCCAGTGGTGGCCCGCACGTGCTCCAGTCTCCCAGTGGTGGCCGACACGTGCTCCAGCTTCCCAGCAGTGGCCCGCACGTGCTCCAGTCTCCCAGCGTTGGCCCGCACGTGCTCCAGTCTCCCAGCGGTGGCCCGCACGTGCTCCAGTCTCCCAGTGGTGGCCCACACGTGCTCCAGTCTACCAGCGGTGGCCCGCACGTGCACCAGTCTCCCAGTGGTGGCCCGCACGTGCTCCAGCCTCCCAGCGGTGGCCCGCACGTGCTCTCCTCCCAGCGGTGGCCCGCACGTGCTCCAGTCTCCCAGTGGTGGCCCGCACGTGCTCCAGCCTACCAGTGGTGGCCCGCACGTACTCCAGCTCCAGTGGTGGCCCGCACGTGCTCCAGCCTCCCCGTGGTGGCCCGCACGTGCTCCAGCCCACCAGTGGTGCCCGCACGTGCCAGCCTACCAGTGGTGGCCCGCACGTGCTCCAGCCTCCCAGTGGTGCCCGCACGTGCTCCAGCCTCCCAGTGGTGGCCCGCACGTGCTCCAGCCCACCAGTGGGTGGCCCGCACGTGCCAGCCTACCAGTGGTGGCCCGCAGTGCCAGCCTACCAGTGGTGGCCTACCAGTTGGTGGCCCGCACGTGCTCCAGCCTCCCAGTGGTGGCCCACACGTGCTCCAGCCTCCCAGTGGTGGCCCACACGTGCCCAGCCCCCAGTGGTGGCCCACACGTGCCAGCCTACCAGTGGTGCCCGCACGTGCAGCCTACCAGTGGTGGCCCACACGTGCCATCCTACCAGTGGTGGCCCACACGTGCCATCCTACCAGTGGTGGCCCACACGTGCCATCCTACCAGTGGTGGCCCACACGTGCCAGCCTACCAGTGGTGGCCCACACGTGCCAGCCTACCAGTGGTGGCCCACACGTGCCAGCCTACCAGTGGTGGCCCACACGTGCCAGCCTACCAGTGGTGGCCCGCACGTGCCAGCCTACCAGTGGTGGCCCGCACGTGCCAGCCTACCAGTGGTGGCCCGCACGTGCCAGCCTACCAGTGGTGGCCCACACGTGCCAGCCTACCAGTGGTGGCCCACACGTGCCAGCCTACCAGTGGTGGCCCGCACGTGCCAGCCTACCAGTGGTGGCCCGCACGTGCCAGCCTACCAGTGGTGGCCCGCACGTGCCAGCCTACCAGCGGTTGCCCGCACGTGCCAGCCTACCAGCGGTTGCCCACACGTGCCAGCCTACCAGTGGTGGCCCACACGTGCCAGCCTACCAGCGGTGGCCCACACGTGCCAGCCTACCAGCGGTGGCCCACACGTGCCAGCCTACCAGTGGTGGCCCACACGTGCCAGCCTACCAGCGGTGGCCCACACATGCCAGCCTACCAGCGGTGGCCCACACGTGCCAGCCTACCAGTGGTGGCCCACACGTGCCAGCCTACCAGTGGTGGCCCACACGTGCCAGCCTACCAGTGGTGGCCACACGTGCCAGCCTACCAGTGGTGGCTCACACGTGCCAGCCTACCAGTGGTGGCCACACGTGCCAGCCTACCAGTGGTGGCCCACACGTGCCAGCCTACCAGTGGTGGCCCACACGTGCCAGCCTACCAGTGGTGGCCCACACGTGCCAGCCTACCAGTGGTGGCCCACACGTGCCAGCCTACCAGTGGTGGCCCACACGTGCCAGCCTACCAGTGGTGGCCAAACTGGTATACCACACAAATATTAAACAGGTAAAACTCATCAGACAAAAAGGATTAATGAACTATATCTTGAGAATAAATTAAGCCAAGGAACACATGTTGGTGGCGCGCGCTCCCAGTGTGTTATGACTCAACCCGACACAATCCTCAAGATTTGGCGAAGTGAATAAACGTGTTTTGCATACGTGTGAAACGCGAGATGGGACCAGTTGGTGGCCCCAGGGGCACATTACCTTATCCCAGAGTATTTGACAGTGGGTCCACCCTCCCGCCGGCCTGGCGCCCTGAACCCCCACCCCCAACACACACCCCCCCTCCCACAAGACTGACACTGACGCAGTTTGTTTATATTTTGAACTGTTGAACACGAACACACACACACACACACGGTTGAGAGGCGGGACCAAAGAGCCAGAGCTCAACCCCCGCAAACACAACTAGGTGAGTACAACTAGGTGAGTACACACACACGCACACACACACACACACACACACACACACACACACACACACACACACACACACACACACACACACACACACACCGGGCCTCGTAGCCTGGTGGCAACCCGTTCTCGCAAATTTAATAAGTCAATATTGACTTATTAAATATGTGCATAGGTGACATACTTAACATAATCGATACCCTTAAAAAGATTCATAGAAAACACCGACCTTACCTAACCTACTTAGTATGTTAAGATAAGCATCTTATTGCTTCGTAATTACAATTATTACCTAACCTATAATAGGTATAGGTTAAGTAATAATTGTAATTACGAAGCAATAAGATGCTTATCTTAAGATACAAACAAGGTTAGGTAAGGTTGGTGTTTTCTATGAATCTTTTTAAGGGTATCTATTATGTTAAGTATATCACCTATGCACGTAGTTAATAAGTCAATATTGACTTTACGAATTTGCGAGAACGGGTTCCTGGTGGATAGCGCGCAGGACTCGTAATTCTGTGGCGCGGGTTCGATTCCCGCACGAGGCAGAAACAAATGGGCAAAGTTTCTTTCACCCTAAGTGCCCCTGTTACCTAGCAGTAAATAGGTACCTGGGAGTTAGTCAGCTGTCACGGGCTGCTTCCTGGTGTGTGTGTGTGTGTGTGTGTGGGGTGGGAAAAAAAAAAAAAAAAAAAAAAAAACAAGTAGTTAGTAAACAGATGAGTGACAGTTGAGAGGCGGGCCGAAAGAGCAAAGCTCAACCCCCGCAAAAACACAACTAGTAAACACACACACGTGAGAAGATGGTGGAGGCCAAGACCGTCAGTAGTTTCAAAGCGTTATATGACAAAATTTCCAGGGAAGACGGGACACCACGAGCGTAGCTCTCATCCTGTGACTTCACTTAGGTAAAAAAAAATCACTTGGTAATTAAACACACACACACACGCATGCATGCATTGCAAACGGATTGGGACATACTCCAGAAGTGGTCTGCAAAATGGCTATTAGAGTTTAACCCAGCCAAATGCAAAGTTAGAGGGATTGGAGAAAGAGTGTGAAGGCCAGTGCAGCAGTAAAGGATGAAGCGAAGACATTCTTCAGCGAGAAAAGGAGAAAGACCTGTGAGTGGACATAACCCCACACCTGATGCCAGGAGCCCACATCAGCAGAATAACAACAGCTGTGTATGACATACTGTCCAACGTCCGGGTATCCTTCA